ATCTGTGAGTTAGCCATGCCCTGACTTAGATCAGCCCAGAGGTTGTTTCAAGGTTTCATCTGTAAGTTAGCCATGCCCTGACTTAGATCAGCCCAGAGGTTGTTACAGGGCTCACTGTCCTTGTCCTTTTTATCTCAGTTCCATATCTTATTTCTCTATAGAAGCAATGATTTGGAAGTATCTGTTGTTGCTGCTGGTTTGTTTGATATTTCACTCAAGCCAGGCACGTKTTGAACGAGCATCTTCACGTAAGTATTTTTAGCTCTTATATCTGGTTAGAGTCGCAGCTCGTTGCTCGTTCCTTTAGGTTCTTTTTCATTGACGTTGAACACATTATTTTCCCATTTAAGACAACGTGTCATTCTCTAGACTGAGAATAAGATTCTTTGTTTGAGTTGTATCCAATTCATGTGTCTTCTCATGTGCAACTGTTAAACAAAGAAATGATACTCCAGGGAATGACACATGGTCTTGAGAATAAGATTCTTTGTTTGAGTTGTATCCATATTCATGTGTCTTTTCATGTGCAAACTTCAAACTTCAAATAATTTTACGAGGTCAAAGGTTCTACCATCTCATTGTTCTCTAATGTTCGAAAAGTGACGAGAAGTACGGATGAAATAGAAATATAGAAAAATGTTTTACTTTGACTCGACATTGCACATCAGTAACTTTTATTAGTCTTCTTCCTTGATTTGAGGATTTTTTCCAGGTTCTGTTTTGGCTCCTGCTTCGTGAGCATGTTGCCTCACAGAATTATTTTACTTGTTGTCTTTCCTTTCTCTAGATAAATGGAAAAAGCTCAACTGGGGGCCCGTATGCTTTGAGGGTAAGGGCACCAAACCGGGTATCTTCAAACCTCATTCCGAGGGATTTCTTGCAGCCGTTAAGCTCGTTCACTGGAGCGGCAAGATTGTCTGCGCATCTCGGGCGAGTCATGAAAGCAACTGGGGATGCCACAACTTTCCAAACCTCGTAAAAACCCCTTTGAATGTCTTCATTACCGATGAGAGCAACCACATCCTCTTCCCAAAGGTTGGAGCAACGTAAGTAATTCATCGGCATTTCAGTCATAGATAAACATTTATTTGGTAAGTTGAGGTTGGTCCCTTGGTCAGTTGAGGTTGGTCCCTTGGTCAGTTGGTAGGTTGGTTCCTTGGTAAGTTGGTAGGTTGGTCCCTTGGTAAGTTGGTAGGTTGGTCCCTTGGTAAGTTGGTAGGTTGGTCCCTTGGTAAGTTGGTAGGTTGGT